TTAAATAAAGCTAAACCATGGTTCAGTCTTGACAGCTTGCCTCATCCAAACAGAAACTAAAGGGGGAGGGGGGCAGAAAAAGAGTGAAAGAGGAGAAACCAAATTCCTTTGATCTGGGTCCTAACTCCCAGGGGCCTCCAGATAAATCAGTGAGTCACAGAAAGGGCAGTAACATGTAAGCCAGAAGACTGGCGACAACAGCTGTCTGTCTGCCTACCTGTCCTGTGAGATCATCACCAAGGTATGATATCATCACCCAGGTCAGAGAAGACACCACAAGACGGAGGTCGACAGAGAAAGAAAGGTCTGTGGCATTCTGAGTATACTTCCTGGGGTGGGAAGTGGATATGAAGTTTTTAATCTTTTCTCTTAAGATATGAGTTAGCATGAGTGGCGACAGAAATCTGCAATGGACAAACCCAAGGAGAACCACAATCTCTGGGGATTATATATAGCTTTACAGATTAGAGATCTCTGGTGGGTTCTTTGTAAGATATTTTATAGCGTACGGAAACAAATTCTTCCATCTTTCCATCTCTGCCACTAATTGACTTTGATAAATAAATTAACCTCAATGGGTCATTTTCCTCTTCTTTAATAAAGAGGAGAACGAGGCAATACCTAAGGTTTTTTCCAAGTTCTAAAATTCCTTAAAGAGAAACAAAGGTGTGTTTTCGAGCCCACATCAATGTTTAGTCTTCAGAGCTAGAAAAGTAAGTAATGTAATGCTTCAGGTCCTGAAGTGACTGGGATTTTTTGTTGTTTTGTTTTTTGTTCTGTTATGTTTTGTTGAGACAGGGTCTCCTTCTTAGCCCCAGCTAGCCTGGAACTTATTATGTAGACCAGGGTGGCTTTGAACTCAGAGGCCTGCCTGCCTCTTGCCTCCCGAGTGCTGGGATTAAAGGTGTGTGCCACCATGCCCAGCTTATTTTGGATTTTTTGAAACAAGATCTCATGTTCAGGGACAAATTGTAATAATCAAGAAACAAGAAGTCAAAGAAATATGCAGGAATTAAGAAAAAAAGACATCAAGGGATGTGAGGGTCAATTAACTGAGGGAAAACTTCTTAATATTATTCATCAATTGTTTTGAATATGTAATATGGGAGTGGTATAAAACAAAGATTTAAGAGGAATACAGTTAAAAATAAAACTTATCTCTGTGGCACAAATCAATTAGGCACTTAGGGGACTTCTATGAATATAGGCTATGCTCTACTTAGGTTGGGTAGTAGGGACTGTGGGTTGCTGTCAAATTTTATATAGCGAATGCATACTCTTATTCTTTTGCATTTATGGAGTACTCCCATAATAGTAATAAGCTTGAAAAGCCGGGCTTGGTGGCGCACACCTTCAATCCCAGTACTTGGGAGGCAGAGGTAGGTGGATCTTTGTGAGTTCGAGGCCAGCCTGGTCTACATAGTGAGTTCCAGGACAGCTGGGGCTACAGGGAGACCCTGCCTCAAAAAGACAAAAAAAAAAAGTAATAAGCTTGAACAGAAAGCCTCTTTTACTTCAGTCCCCTAGTCCTCTATCGATTTTCCCTGAGCAGTCACAGTAACCAAAGATGTCTTACGCACGGACAAGTGTGAGGGCATGGGCGTACACACATACACACACAAACAACAGGGGACAAAACAAACTGACTCCCTAACTGTGGTCCCACAGGATCTGGCATGTATCGTGGGCTAACACAGACCTGAGGAACTGTCTCAATCCTTTTCTCCAAGGTGAAGTCTGTCCCATAGCCTTAGAAGTACAAATTGCAAGGGTGGCACTGGCTGGATACAGGCACAAGGCTGTCTGCTCTGGCCATACACACTGGCTGCCAAGAGCTGAGTTCTAGCACACTTCTTCCATTCTGAAAGACATCAGCCAATGCTGTGGCCCCATATTCCCTCAGTGTTAGCTTCAAAAATTCTACAATGTCCATTTCAAATCATTCATTTTCCAACTGTGATAGTCCAGAGAGGTTTGCACAGCAGTGACAGAGGCTCTAACTGTGGCGTGATGGGAACACTAAGATCTATCTGGCAGTATACGGCACACAGACATCACAGACAGGTGCATTGCAAATTCCAAGAGGCAGAAGAATTTCAACTTTGAAATGCTTTCAACACCACAGACTTTGGGCAAGGATTGGCTAAAATATAGGATGGTGGTCACAAGATTTGTTTCTTCATGTAAGAAGAGATTTCAAAATACTTTGATAAAATCTTGATTTAAAGGCTTATGCCTACTTATTAGGAGAATTAAGTCAAAACAAATTTCATCATTCTTTTTTTAAAAAAAGGAAGCTGGCTGTGGTGGCGCACACCTGTAGTCCCAGCACTTGGGAGGCAGAGGCAGGCGGATCTCTGTGAGTTCAAGGCCAGCTTGGTCTACACAGTGAGTTCCAGGACAGCTTGGGCTACAAGGAGACCCTGTCTCAAAAAGACCAAAAAAAAAAAGGGAAACAATTGTCTACCATGTGCCAAAATTAGGAGTCAATATACAGACGTATGTATTGCTCTTAAAAAGCTAGTAATCGGGGGCTGGAGAAATGATGCAACAGCTAAGAGTACTTGCTGCCCTTGCAGAGGACCAGAGTTGGGTTCCTGACATACACATGGGTGGCTCATAACCACCTATATGTGACTACAGCTCCATGGGGACCTGATGCCTCTGGTCTCTGGGGGTACCTGTACTCACAAGTACATACCCACACACAAATACACATAAAGACAAAATAAATCGTTTTTGGTTTTTTTTTAAAGAAGAGAATAATCAGTAAGGAACCATATGTAAGGGATAGTGTGTGTAAAGGTGGTACTACAGGAATGAGAGGAGGAAGGTGACTACCGAGACAGGTTTCACAGAAAGACAGCACCAAACTAGATCCAAAGCATCAGCAAGAACCCACCTGAAGTGTGGAGGAGGGAAACCCTCAAAGATAGACAAGTACGCTGCATCAAAATCTCCAAGCTCCAAACATCGAGTGAAAACTGTTAATAAGCACATAGTATTCTCTGGAATTGTATCATATCTAGTATCCTAAAGTCTGACTTAGGGTAAATATTTTGCTTCTTCAATTCTGTCTAAAGGGGGTTAATTACAGTTATGAAAAGCATCTCACCTCTAAAGCACATACTCACAAGGACCCAGACACTTCGCTGCTTGGCTTTTCGGAAGAATTGTTGCTGACTGAAGTTTCCCAACAGATACTTTTAATTTCCTCCCCTAAATGATGGCTATTACTAAACAGCTGTTGGATTAATGTTACACTATATCTCATGGCTACAGCACTTTAGAGTAAAAGAGTAACAGTTTCACAAAACCATCATTTAGAAGGTTTTGAAAAATTGGGAGCCAGTAAGTAATGGGGAAGTCATTCCTTAGCCCAGTTTCTCTGCCTTCATGAACACAGCAAAAGAAAGAAGTTCACATTACATCATCTTCTCGGCAGACCTTTGGTTCTTCCTGCATCTAACAAACACCCTGGTCAATTCTGTCCACACTAGTCTTACATACTGCTGTCCTTTGAAAGTTTTATGAAGTAGCTGGTCCAACAGATGGATGACTAGCCCTGCCTGACATATGCTGTGGGAAAACCTACTCTCAAACAGACAAGAAACTACAATGTTCCTTTCCATTTTAGGGCTGAGAATACTGAAATTATCTTAGGGGAAAGTAATCTTTTAACCTGCACTACAAAAGGTTGCTGGCCTGAGATATCTGTAACCTGGTGATCAAAGGGAGAGAACGTTCAAATACTAAAATTCACTCCTAAAGATAAAACACCCACTTGCCTACACACAGCAGGGACTGGAATACAGATGGGAAAAAAAAATCCAAAGTCAGTTTAACTGGAGCTACTTCATCAAAGGCAGATGGGAAACATTCAGATAAGCATACTATTTGTTTGGAACTCAAAGCTCAAGAGACATGTGAGAGAAAAAGGAAAGATGACCTGAGATGCATAGCACACATGAACAGAAAAATTCAACTGATAAATGACTCATGATGGTTGTGTTTGAAAAACTAGGAAGAACATGGCAGTGGACCCTTCTTCCCTGCCCCTTCCTGTCCAGAAGGCTTAACCTGACAGCATCTGATCTCATCTTCAGTCTTCAGCTGATGTGTATCTGGGCCTGAAAACACACTACCTAAGCGCTCCCCAAGGAGAACAGACTAGTCCAGCCAGAGACAGTATCTGCCAGGACCAAGGAGTCATTCTCCTATGTGTGGGGCCAGTGGATGGGGAAGAGGATGCAAATACTACTTGTATGAATCTTTCAAGATATGCTCTGAAACAAGAAATGCTACAGATTACATTTTAGTAAATGTCTAAAAATAATAAAGGGAATTCTCTATTTTTAGATATTTGACTTACAAGTTTAAAAACACTAAAAGTAAAAGAAACCATTAAACACTAACTAGAATTTTTAAATGTTTTAAGAGAAACTTTGAATTGGAAAACGATTTTTAGAGATAGAATTTTAAAGATCCTGCACTCTTTCTGCTGACTGCTTCCTTGCTCAAACTTCCCTCTCTCTAAAATCTAATCCCAATCATTACTACAGGTGCTATAAAGACATGTAAAGGTGAGAAAGAACAGCTGGGGGAAAACATAGAATACTCTTCCACAAAGATGTAAAAATGGGGTATGGGTTTGTGATTAAAGGCAGTAATGCATAAAACAGCAAAAGCAATTTAATTATCCTCCATTAAAAGCAGGGCCAAAGACAGTAATAAAATGATTAAGGAAAAACAGTATTTCCCCAGAATAGGTTTCCCCACTGAATGTTCTTAAGATCAGCCAGCATCTAATGCAAAGCTATATCTGAATTACTGGATTAAAGAAAAACATTCCTTTTTGAAAAAATAAATGAAAACCTGAAAATGAAGTATACTTACTGCACAATTCACATTTTATCTTCCCACCTCTGCCTCACACAAATATCTTGATCTTTTCAGAGATGCCTGTGGCAAATGAGGGCTACAGGAAGTAAGGGGATTACCTGACTGTACGGCCATCATTAGCATCTCAGGCTCCAGCAAAGTCATGACGGAGTCTTCTCAGAAACAGCCCACAAATACAAGAAAGCCAAAGTCACGGGAAAAAGATGCCTCCAAAGGCTTTCACAAATTCAGTCTCATGCCTGTGCTCAAGGCAGAACACGAGAGCTTGCTCCCCTTCTCAGGGCAGACACCAATTCTCCACCCTTCAGGCAAGTCAAGATGGCCCAGTTGACTGACTGCCGACAGGAAACCAAGCACTCCACAGAAGACCTAAATTGTGTGGTTAGAGTGAGCTCCTCCCCTTCTGTTCGTCTCTAGGGGGAGGGGAGGAACACAGAAAGACAGATCAAACTGCTTTCCTCTCTCAGGATGAGAGGATGAGGTTTTATTCAAAACCTATTGGAAGGAACTCTGCCGCTAACACAGTTTAGGACAAGGATGAAAGCACTATCCAAACTCAGTCTCAAGAAAGAAACAGTCCAATTACTAATCCACTACTGGGAGGTAGAGACAGGGGTTAGATACACATCAACACACACACACAAATAGATACATAAGACAAGTAACTTTCCTGAAAAAGAATTCCAACAGCTTTTTCATACATGATATTTATAGATACAAGCTAAGGAAGTTGAATATTTAACCACAAAAGTTCAAGTATTTCTCCACCCCCACTCCAATTAAAATATCTGTTTCAAAAAGTCATCAGAATACATTCCAGAGCTGTAATCTGTTTCTCAGATCTGCCAGTCCCCTTTGGGGGGGTGGGGGGGGCTCACATGCTATCTATGGATAGACAGGGTACCGATGTCAGCTTTCCTAAACTGCTTTACGATCACGCTGGGTGTATAGAACACACAGAAAAAGCCTCAATGGATATAAATTTCCCTTTCCTAAGAAAGAAATGTCACCCCTTTTTTTGCCAGCACAGAGCAGATCTTCTGAACAAGAATGAACACAAGCATTCTGCTTTCCCTGAGGAGATAAAAACCCTAAAATCCTTTTAAGATTGCTTTTAAATATAGAAATTATTTTATTGACTCAAAATTTAAAGGTCATTTATTCCTTTTGCAGTATTTTAATTCCTGATATTACAATAATAATAACATTAAGATGCTTTTAGCATATTTGATAGACTTTTAGTACCTGAAAACTAAAAAGCTTTGTTGGGTCTGTTCATCTAGAATTCCTGAATCTTTCTGGGGAATCAGCAGTCCATAACTTGAAAGCCTACTAGTGCAGGCTCGGCCCAGTGAATACCTTAATGCTTACATAGTCAAGCAAACGATAAATGAAAACACTAGGAGACCTTTAAAAAGAATCCAGCTTCAGAGAGAGTGAAGACATGGCACAACAGAAAAGGCAATGCAGGTTTGGGGTGGGGAGAGCCTGTGGCAGAGAGAAACCACCCTCCTTTCCCACTCCAAGAACATCATGTTGAAGGGAAGAGCTCTATATAGAGCTGTGGGAATGACTCAACAGGCAGTGGAGTGGCAGCCAGTGTGGGCTGCATGCTGCTCTGGGAGGAAGAAGCATTCTAACTGGCCCCTTCTGGCAACCCAGCTCTCCAACTGCCCTGTGAAAAATGGGTAAATTTCAACGCAGACTGCTTAAGAGACCAGACTCTGACCACAGAGGTTAGCAACTGAGGGAGAAGCATCCCTGGAAGGTTGAGTCATTCCTTCGACCCTCTGGGGGCTGTACAATTTGCTGGGTGAGCGTTTTTTCAAATGAAGTGAGTTCTCACAGTTTGTACTTAGAGGGAAAAATGACAAATTACAAAATTCCTGTACAGAGACTGAAAGAAGGGCAGAGACTGCTTCCCTCCTGGCCAGACATCAACCCACAGGAGAGACTGACAATAATGTGCTGATAGACAATAACAGGGAACAGTATATTTCAGTTGATTTCACTTTTTTACAGCAAATCCAGATGCACTTTGGGATAAAAGAGCAAATCAAAGGGAAGCTGTTTTTAAAACAGAAATCTAAAAAAAGCAATCCTTTTAAAACCCAGAAAATAAGAACCCTTGCCTAATGGTCAAATTTTACATTGCTGTGCAAGAGCTTCCACACAGCAGCAGAATCACTATGGAAAGGACTTTCCACTGTTCTAAAAGTGTGGGCACCTAGGATTCAAAATACTGGAAGCTTCAGTTTCACTATTTTTGTATAAACTGCTAACATTTCATAAAAACAGAAATAAATTATCAATTATAACTGATAAATTATACAGAACTAAAGTATATATTTTCTACAAAAATGAACATGATTTTCAAGCTAAGAGCACAAAGGCATGAAGGATAAATATTCAATTAAATACTTTGCTTCTAATCATAACTCTCTAGCCAATCAATGCAAATTTAATATGATCTGCTATCTATTAATGCACTCTAGAGACATGATACTACAGATATCACTATAGTTTTTTTTTAATTTTATTATTTTTAATTTTATGTGTATGACTGTATTGCTTGCATGTATGTAAGTACACCCATGTTGTCATACAATGTCTGCAGAGGACAGAAGAGGGTGTGGGATTCCTCGGAACTGGAGTTATGGATGATTGTTATGTGCCGTGTGGGTGCTGGGAATTGAACCTAGGTCCTCCGCAAGAGCAGTCAGTGCTCTTAACCACTGAGCCATCTCTCCAGCACCCACTACAGTTTTTAAATGTATAACATTATTTAAAACATTTTAATAATGTTAAATAATATAACTTTGAAAGAAAGGGAGGGGAAGAGAGGAAGAAGAGGACCACCAGCAGCAGACAAGCTTTTAAACTCCTTGATTCAACTAGATTTGTCTCCTAAAAATGTCCCATTTCCTGGATTTTCTTATTTTTTATATTTATTTATTATTTTTATTTTATGTGTATGAGTGTATTGCATGCATGTGAGTGCACCCGTGTCATGCAATGCCTCAGAGGTCAGAAGAGGGCTTCAGATTCCCCTGGAACTGGTGTTAAGGACAGTTCATAGCCACCATGTTGGTGCTGAGAATCAAACCCAGGTCCTCTGCAAGAGCAGTCAGGGCTCTTAATCACTGAGCCATCTCTCCAGCCCCTATTTTCTGGATTTTGTTAAACAGACCACTGTCCTAGCTCTCCAACCTTTCTGTCTTGAAAAGCTCTTGTTTCTCTGCCATCTCAGGGCGCCCACCCCTCCTTTGCATGCACGCCTGGCAATCTCATCTTTCCTTAAGGTTTTAACTTCTACCTAAATGCTCATCCCATATCTAACTCTGACATCACCTGTAAGCTTGCAACTATGCCTCTCTGCCTAGCTATCCTTAGCACGTATGTCCAAGAGCAAAATCTTCCAGTATCATTCATTACCTTGCACCAACCCCTCAAGGCACAGTGATTCTTTTTTCCCTCTTACACACAGGTCCCAAACAGTAACCTTCTACTCCCCTTCCTCTAGCCCTGAATATCTACTTCGCTACTAAATGCTAAATTAGTTACCAAATGTAACTACTACCTCATAACATATTCCTCAAACCCACTCTTTTTGTTCCATCCCTATAACCAGTGCTTTATTTTAGGTTTTTAATGTTTCTTGCCTGAGGTATACGAAGTTTTAACTTACAGAAAAATTCAAACACATACAAAGACAGGAAAGAATAGCATAATAAACTGCTTGTGAATCCTTCACTTACCTTCAAAACTCATCACCACATGGACAAACTTGTTCCACCAGTCCTGCTGGACTCCCACCCTACACACAGCACCCAATCAACAAGGCATCCCCCAAACAAACGCTATCATCTCTATGCTGAATATCTAAAAGACGAACTATTCTGTATAACTAATATGACTACTACCACACCTATATTTTTTAAATTCCTTAATATGACCAACTACCTAAGTGGTGTTTAAATTTTCCCAGGTAGCTCATAAATTTTTAGTTTATTTATTCAAATTAGAATCTACAAGGGACAAACACCGCATTTCATTTAACGTGTCTCTTAAATTTCTTTTCATCTCCAGATTTTCCATCTTTTTATTGTATTTTATTTGTTGAAGAAACCAGGTTGTCTTCCCACATTTTGAATTTTGCTTGTTTTCCCATAGTGCTATTTACTATACTGTTCCATCCTTCCATATTTCCAGGAAATTGGGAGTTAGACATAGAAATTTAATCCAACTTGATCAAGATAAAGTTTGGGGCAAGAATATGTCATAAATTGCAGTGTGTATCTCAGCAGCAAGTTTTTATTTTATTTTTGTTTGGATTCTTGTGACAGGGTGCTAACTCTACCTCAGCCTTCTGGGATGACAAGCAGGGCCACCACACCTGGCTGCAATAGCTTCTTCTTTTTGTTGTTGTTTTAAACAAACTCCACTATGCTGGTCCTAGGATCCAACTTGGGTTGTCAGGCCTGTGGCAGGCACCTTCACCCACTGAGCCATCTTACCAGCCCCTGCAATAGTGTCACTGTGCTACTTCCATCCAGTCTTGCTGCTATTAAAATCATCCTTGTTACCAACTGGTTCTTTTTTTTCACAGATTTATTTTTCTTTTTAATTATTTATGTGTGTGTGTGTGTGTGTGTGTGTGTGTGTGCACGCGCGCACCACATATGTATTGGTGCCTGAAGAGGCCAGAAGACGACATTAGGTCCCCTGGGGCTGATCACAAGCAGTGAAGAGCCTTGACAAAGGTGCTGAGAACTGAACTTAGATTCTTTGGAAGAGCAGGACACGCTCTTAAGCACTGACAGTCATCTCAACAGCCCATGAAATGATTGTTAACTCCATTTTAGGTGCTGCTATCTCTAGAACGTCTTCCCCTCTTGGCACCCTCAACCACCCTGATTGCCCTCCCATTCATGGATAGGCAAATGTCCCTCCCCTGTGTTCCAGGAGCACCTGTGCCCAACCTAGTACTGCTCTTTCCACAAAGCTTATTTCCACCATGGCTTATTCTAAACCCCCATCATCCTTTGCAAGTACTACCTCCACAGCTTTCTAAGCAGTCCCTTGCTCCCATGCTTACCCATCCCCAGCCTACTCTTTACATAGCTGCCACAGTGATCAGGAATGAAGGAGAAACTGGACTGGATCCCTTACTTGTATAAATTAACAAAGTTCACACTAATTCCAGCGATGTACTAGAGCTCTATCTCAGATGCTGATCCCTAATCCCCGAGGCATCTCAGGCCTCATAGGGTGGGTTTGGCTTGATATTAGGCTGTGGAGAGTATTTCAGACATTCTACAGTCCCTACGATATTAGTCATGATGTACCAGCACTGTACTGAATGGTCTAATTATAGTCTTTATAATCTTAAACCACACTTTCTTGCAAAGGAGTCATTAAAGAGACAGGAGACAGGCAGATCCTACAATAGGCAA